CACCAAGTAGAATTGGTTGCCATGGACCAAAATTTCGTTTTGGTGTATATTTTGGTAAGCTCGGAATTGGAAATGTGTCAAAAACACAATGGAACACAAGAAATATATTGGAATTTTGACTCCAAAACATCCAAGAACATTCCAAAACATGGGAATTTTGATTATCTATCATTACTTCATTTTTAATTTCACTGAAATCGAATGTTTCGGTTGTTTTGGTGGAAACAAAGCTAAGCTATGTTCCTTGATTGTCGCAAAGGTTATGTTAACGTTGAGAAAGAGAGAGAGAGAGAGAGAGAGACGTGAGAATGAGAAAGAGAAGAAGTTACTTTACCTTCCCTTTCACCTCATATATATATATATGTATATATGTATGTAAATGAAACTAAAAGACTAACATACCCTTCTTGGTATATATTTATTACATTAGTGTCATTCTATATATTCTAACACTCCCCCTCAAACTGGTGAATATATATCATATAATCCCAGCTTGGAACAAATATCTCTTAATCGACGACTTAGTAAACATATCAGCAAGTTGATTCTCACATTGACAAAGGGTGTGACAATGTTTCCACACAACACTTTCTTTTGAATAAAATGACAATCAACTTCAATATACTTTGTTTGTTCATGAAACACGGGATTAGAAGCAATATGGACAACAACTTAATTATCACAAAACACTCAATTGGAGGCTTGATCGGAAACCCAATTTCCTTAATGAAGTGTTGCAGCCACTCATTACAAGTGTGAGACATTGCCCAAGACTCAGCTTCCGCACTACACCGTACCACCACTGTCTATTTTTAACTCTTCCATGTAACCAAATTACCTCCCAAAAAGGTACAATAGCATGTGATAGAGAGATCCTGCCAAATCAACATCTGTGAATCATTCCAACCTAAGATGCCTATAAGATCTATATAACAATCAAAGTCCAGAAGCTTACTTGAGATATATGATAATACGAACAATAGCATCCCAATGTTGTACTCGAGGAGTTTCTATAAATTGACTTACTACACTCATTGCATAAGATATATTTGGTCTGGTGATGGTGAGATAATTTAACTTCCCAACTAATTGATGATATCGTCCAGGATATGAGAAACATTAACCTTCATCCACTGAAAGTTTATGATTTGGATCCATAGGTACATCAATTGATTGATCACCTAGAAAACTTATTTCCTCCAAAAGTGACATATTTTTTTTGGGACAAACTAATTCTCTGTTTTGATTTAGCAACTTCAATACCAAAGAAATAACGAAGTTTACTTAGATATTTAGTGTGAAATTGGTGTTGAATAAATTGTTTCAACTTGACAATACCAACTGAGTCATCACCAATAATCACAATATCATTAATATAAACAACAAGGAGAATATTACCTTTATTCTTATGCAAGTAAAATATTGAATAATCTGTCTGACATCTATGGAGACCAAAATCCAGTACCGCATTTGTAAACTTCCCAAACCATGCTCATGGAGATTGTTTCAACTCATATAGTGCCTTCTATAACTTACACACACTCCCCTGATACTCCCCCTAAGCAACAAATACAGGTGGTTACTCCATATAGACTTCTTATGCCAAATCACTATGTACAAAAATATTCTTCACATCTAATTGAAATAAGAGCCAATCAAGATTAACAACGAGAGATATCAAAAACCCAAATAGAAGATATCTTAGCTAATGGAGAGAACGTCTTGGCATAGTCAACACCATACATCTGAGTGTAGCCTTTAATAATCAAACGAGCTTTGAAGCGACCCACAAAACCATTCGGATGAAATTTAATGAAATAGACCCAACGACATTCAATAGTCTACTTAACAGGAGGCAAGGAAACAAGTTCCTATGCATAGTTATCAAATCATGTATTGGAAGGCGTATCGTTTTTTAAAAATAGTGTATCGTATCATGTATCATAAGATACGGTGCAATTTTAAATAAATAATAAAAAAATATATATATCTTTGAAAAAAAATCATACACTCATAAAAATATAGCATTTCATTCATACTTCACCACCTATTCAAGTCATCAAACATAGTTCACTAATATTATAATGCAAAGTTTACAACCATAGTTCACTAATTCAAACTTCAAACCCCAAAGAGACTTTTAATCCAAATTTCTAACATCTATTATGAACTTGATCCATAAAATTAATCAAGATTCAGAAATTTTTATACAAAAAAAAAAATTAGTGTCTTATTTAGACAAAACAATGTCATTTCAGAAAAAAAAAAAACAGGTTTTGTGAGTATCGATCGTATCGTAAAAACATATCGTGTATCGGACGATACGATGCAAAAACGATACATAACTACGATCCGTATCGTTTTACCTCCGTATCGTAACGTATCGTACGATACTCGATGAATTACGATCCGTATCGTTTTACCTCCGTATCGCGTATCGTACGATATGTATTGCGTATCGTACGATACTAACAACTATGTTCCCAAGTATGATTGTCATGGAGTGCATGCATCTCTTCTTCCATAGATTGTTGCTAGCGTGGATCAAATAATGCAGTCTAGACAATCTTAGGAACAGACAAAATAGATAATCGGAAGGTAAAACATGAGAATAAGGGAGATAATGAATGGGAGGAAACAAAGTTACCAATAGAATCATTAGTAACACAAGAATGAGTACCTTTACGAAGAGCAATCGATAAAGAGTCTGAGAGAACTGAAATAGTTGGATGTAAAAANCACAAGAATGAGTACCTTTACGAAGAGCAATCGATAAAGAGTCTGAGAGAACTGAAGTAGTTGGATCCAAAGANATGGAGAGAACGTCTTGGCATAGTCAACACCATACATCTGAGTGTAGCCTTTAATAATCAAACGAGCTTTGAAGCGACCCACAAAACCATTCGGATGAAATTTAATGAAATAGACCCAACGACATTCAATAGTCTACTTAACAGGAGGCAAGGAAACAAGTTCTCATGCATAGTTATCAAATCATGTATTGAAAGACGTATCGTTTTTTAAAAATAGTGTATCGTATCATGTATCATAAGATACGGTGCAATTTTAAATAAATAATAAAAAAATATATATATCTTTGAAAAAAAATCATACACTCATAAAAATATAGCATTTCATTCATACTTCACCACCTATTCAAGTCATCAAACATAGTTCACTAATATTATAATGCAAAGTTTACAACCATAGTTCACTAATTCAAACTTCAAACCCCAAAGAGACTTTTAATCCAAATTTCTAACATCTATTATGAACTTGATCCATAAAATTAATCAAGATTCAGAAATTTTTATACAAAAAAAAAAATTAGTGTCTTATTTAGACAAAACAATGTCATTTCAGAAAAAAAAAAAACAGGTTTTGTGAGTATCGATCGTATCGTAAAAACATATCGTGTATCGGACGATACGATGCAAAAACGATACATAACTACGATCCGTATCGTTTTACCTCCGTATCGTAACGTATCGTACGATACTCGATGAATTACGATCCGTATCGTTTTACCTCCGTATCGCGTATCGTACGATATGTATTGCGTATCGTACGATACTAACAACTATGTTCCCAAGTATGATTGTCATGGAGTGCATGCATCTCTTCTTCCATAGATTGTTGCTAGCGTGGATCAAATAATGCAGTCTAGACAATCTTAGGAACAGACAAAATAGATAATTGGAAGGTAAAACATGAGAATAAGGGAGATAATGAATGGGAGGAAACAAAGTTACCAATAGAATCATTAGTAACACAAGAATGAGTACCTTTACGAAGAGCAATCGATAAAGAGTCTGAGAGAACTGAAATAGTTGGATGTAAAAACAATAAGGAAGTTGATGGTGAAACTAAATCTGGTATGGGCAGCCTTGATCGACGAGAGTAGACCAGAAAAAGTGTGGTAGAAGATATAGGAGTAGACCCTGACATAGAAGATGATTTAGGAGATGAGGAAACTAGAACAGAAGCGGGAAAAGGTAGTAAAATAGGTAGGGGAGACGACTCAGGGATACAAGTAAGAAGGACAGGAGGTGCAGAGAAATATACAGTTGACTCCTAGATGGTAACATCAACACAAGTAAAGTAGCAAGGACTATAACAACAATAACCTTTTTAGGTGCGAGAATAACCCAGATATGCCTATTTATGATTTTTGACTCATGTGACTTAAGGAATTTAGCCAATTACAAATATGCCCTTACAATGACCATGATTCATTCATCTCCGGTTAAACTAGAGCTTTATATCANTTTAGGTGCGAGAATAACCCAGATATGCCTATTTATGATTTTTGACTCATGTGACTAAAGGAATTTAGCCAATTACAAATATGCCCTTACAATGACCATGATTCATTCATCTCCGGTTAAACTAGAGCTTTATATCAGTAGTGTTCAATATGTGAACAAATTCCTCAAGGAATGCATAAAAGCTTTTCAAGCAACGTTATCTCATTCATACCTCATTAATAAAAATAGTCCCAACCGAAGACCCCACATCACTACAAGCAACGTCAAGACCACCTAAAAGAGGAAGCCAAAAATCATAAATGGGAAAAAAATATGCAATAATGAATTGGGCTCTACCAAGTATATATTTTGTTGTTTCCGTTATGTGAATGATACTTTTTATTGCATTCCTTATATTCAATGCACGTGTGCTGGTTTGGAGGGTGTCAAGCATACATATTTTCAATGAAACTCAACAAACGAATATCTCAATAGTAGTCAATTATTAATTACCACAATCCAAAAAATTATTTAGATGATTTGAGTTTTTTTCACTAATATTAGCATGGAGGGGAAAATTTCACGTAAAAGAGGTTTGCATCAAAACAAGAGGACCAAGTCTACGGCCACGACGGATGCTAAGACTGGGGAATTTTATTCATTTGTGTGATAGTAAACATAATTAATGTACAAAGATAAAGCAATATCTCTAACAAATGCAAGTGCAGAGACAAGACTTATTTGAACTTTTGATGTGAATATCCATATATATATAATGAGATTGCATCAAAAAGAGATCTACTTTGTCTTCCACCATGGGGGGTGAAATGAGAGTTTTAAAAGACCTCAAAGTTGAGAAGGATTATTGTCATCCTAGAAGTGAAAGCAACTTTTCTCAAAGGAAAAAATAACCTTTAAAGACAGTTTGACCTCCATAGATGCAGTATATAATTTAGAATCGTTGAAACACAACGATTATATAATAAGGCTTTATAAGTATCTTAATTTTGGATGATAGGGTCTGACACCTGATGACTAATGTTGAATTAGGCATAGGATATATAATCAGGATCACATGTGCGTGCAGATAAACATACATGGAGAAATTTTACTCATTTCTTGGACACGATAATATTAAATTAAAGAAAAGACATAATCGGAGAATTTGAAATATGACTTTATTTCATCAAACAATATTGTTAGACCAAATAAAACTTGAGTGTTGAGGTGTCAGAAAGGTGCAAAACTTGCATCTTGTTATTAAGTCTTGGTGTAGGAAGCATAGAGCTACTGAGACAGAACCTAATCCTTTTAATTTGTAAGCCACAAGGACTAAATTACTGTGTAACACCTCAAGGAAAGAACCCACTTCTCTCTTAGCATCCTAAATTTGCATTAAACATTGGGTAAGTGGATCACAGATAGGTCTACTTGCCAAATAATCTGAGCCTTTTCCACTATAGGCACATCCCTCAAGGATATCACAAAGCCCGAAGACATAGTAGCACCCAATATAGTCTTTAAAACATATTTTTTTAAGAAAATTAGTAACATAATAAAGGCACGGAAATTTGTTATGGAATTTGTAGGGAATGGAAGATGACCCCTTGGATAAGATTTTACATCTGTTACAAGAAACATTTTTTGCTAGCATCAAAGATAGTCCTTTGCTGTCCTGTGATTTTCTAGACTGATGCAAGATTTTGAAAAAAAAAAACCTGTGAGAAAAATAAATGAAAAGATAACTGCCAAATTTAGACCATAAAAGGATTGAATGAAGCCCAGAAAAGTGGACATTGGAATGCATTATTTAAGTACGACATAATCCTTAACAGTGCGCACCGAATAATCCTTGTTTAGTGAAAAAAAATTCATCTACAAAAATAATAGATACCCCTACATAGTCATACGCTGAATATATATTGAGAGAGTGGGAGATTCTGCAAGTTTTAATACTTGTTAGAATAAATCTTACCTGTCGAAAATGCCATGATCCTTTGAGAACTAGTGTTAATACAGCGACTATAACAAAATTTGAGCTTCCTGTTAAAAACAACTACAGTTATCCCACAAAGTCAAACAACCATTGACAATTGGCTAATATAAATCTTTTCAACAACAAATTCAATCCAAAATGAACTCAATACTTTTCTTCTATTATTCAAACCCAAAATCACTAAAACTAAGCTGTGCAATACAACCGTCCAGTGCAAGTTGCTGTATAAACTAAGTTCAATTAAATGTTTAGGCCCATTTAGCAAACAAAACTCCATGAAAATTGAACAACGAACAATGATTATGAAAAATGGGC